TTATAAAAAATTATTATTTTTTATAATAATAATTTTGATTTAATTTTCTGTTTCATTTTCTTTCTATGAAATAATTAAAAATTACAGATAATCTATTGAAAATTAGTATAGAGCAAATTTTTAATTTTTTCAAAGAATAAAATGGAAAATTTTACTTTATTTTTCTTCTTGCATATGAAGTTATATCAGATCAAGTCCAGGATGTTATTTTTTTTCTTATTTCTGTATTAAATAAAATAAATGATTATTTAGTAAATTGATATATAAAATCTTTATTCATATTGATTTTAAATAAAGCATGAATATAACATATACTTATTATATAAACTAGACTTTCTAATTATAATAAATAATTTTTAAAATCTAAAGTCATTATTACAAAAAGTTAATATTGAAAGAAGTTAATTTATGATGTTTTAATTTTATATTATACTTAATTTCAGCAAGAGGAGGAGCGTCAGAAAGAATTAAGAAAAAGGGCTAGAAAATTAATTGAGGAGGCACGTCAGGGTATTAATAAGCCGGATTTAGGTGGATTTCCTTTCCCGACTGTTAATGTCTCCAATTCTAACAACAATGTTGAAACTGGTAATGATGGTAGCACTTTGAATACAAACATCTTAAATAATAACAAAAATGGAAATGCTGATTTTCCAGTATCATTGCACATAAATTCTGGTATGTTTACTAAAACACTAATGATGAATGCATGAAAAAAATTACATATTTTTATATTGGAAGATATTAAATGCATGACTAATGTAATATTAATTTCATTTCTAATCCTTTTTCTCAGTTATAGAAATATTTCTCTAGTATTAGAAAACATATAGGTATTTTGCAAATTTTTAATCATTTATAAAAATGTTATTCATAAGTATAGTGATGTATATGAACAAAAAATTACCAATGATATAAGTATCATTGAGGAATGAAACTGATTGCTAAATTATTTCAATTTTTATTTTTTAAATTAAGGACATTTAAATGAATATAAAAGGTTTATGTAAATAATTTGTACTTGTTATTAAAATATTCATCCAAAGTATGAACACATTCAAATAAATGGGAATATAAGATAGTTTAATTTGACATTTGAAATGAATTACAAAAATTTTCAAAAATATTTTATTTGATAAGTCAATAAAATATAGAATATGATCCAAAAATTTCATCTCTCATGTAATATATAGCTTGATGTCAGTTATTTAGTCCAAAATCTGAGATGAACTAACTGCAGATAATCAAATAGCGAATTGTGTTATACTAACTGGACATAAATTATGGCTAATTGACTATAATTTGAGAATTTATGAGTAAAATAGTTTATCCTGATGAATGTAGAAATACAACAATAGTAAAATTAATATATATGCATTAATCTTATGGCCAAGGTTCAGCTAGTATAACTGATAACATGTATACACACAAAATACAAGTTAGTGTTTAAATCTTTCTCCTGATTAACTTTTTCAAACTTCTAAATTATTAATTAATTTCATAATTTAGAAGTTTGAAGTAGAAGTAAATTACAAAACTTTTCTGATAGAAAAAGTAAAGAATTTAGTTTAGGTAATAAAATCATATTTATCTTATTTTTAAATTACCATTTCTTAGCTATCATCATTATGAGAAATGGAACTTGATCAGTTTTCACACCTAATGAACCAGTAAAATTCACTAAAAAAAGTGGAAGTTTTTTTATTGGATTTTACTGGTTCATGTTAGTATTTTTGTGTGTTAATTTTTCTATTTGTCAGTTTTTAGCAAGTTTTAACTTTTATGTTTTACAGTTTTACTCCATTTATTTTCAAAAAATTTTGGTTACTTCTAGCTGTCACTAATAAATACATTAAATACATTGTTTCAATTTCATCAGTTATATATAAGAATTGAAGAGAGACAAATAACTCAAAATGTAATTCCGTTTTATATAATAAAGTCTACATAACCAATCAACAGTGTTCCTGTATGATAAGTTCTCCATAGCAATTTTGTGCTTGCTTCCAAAGTTCTATTACTTATAACTATCTATTTATGGTTTCTCCAACATTATTTTATTTAAACATAATTTAGTTTGTTTCTGATACTATTGTTTAAAATAATAAAAAAAGGAGAAAGAATGATATAAATTTATACTTGTAATATGTTATGAGGGGAAATCACAATATAATGTTCTTTGTTTTATTTTAAATGTAAACAAGCTACAATGCAGAAATATCAAATATAGACACACATTCAATCTATTTTAACATTAAATTAATATTTAATGTTAAAATAGATTGAATATCAGTATAGTCTCAAATATTATTTACTGCACAGTTTTTTAAACATTTGTACATCTTTAGTTATCGAAGTATAAAACTGAATATTCTTTAGAAATACAGTAGACCCCCCCCTATAACGCTTAGATACGTTCCACGTTAATCGAATTTTACGTTGTAGGAATGATTAAATACATGAGCCAATCGTAGCCCGATAGGTGTGAAGTTTACGGACTAAGGCTGTTTGAAAGGTTTTCTTCTATAAAATTAACCGATTCTAGACTAATTCCACTCAACATTTCCAAAACATGTATAATTTTTTGGGAATAATCTGTATAAACTATGCTATAAACAAAAAATTGTAGGATTACTTACCGAGTATGCACCATTCGACTACGCCGTTGCTCAAAGCTTGTTTTCGTCGCAGAACAGTGCACGAAACGGCGGCCGCGATTTCTGATAACGAATTTTTCGCAGAAAAATAACTTGACCTTTGGAGACATCATTAATATAAATAATTTTTATGGCCATTGAATAAGAAATGTTTCTTTCACAAGAAATGTATAAAATTAGTGCTGTATTAGACTTACGGTACCTAATTTACATACTGTACAGACAATAATAAACTCAACTTACTAGCCTAAAATCTCCGTAGCGTGTTGCCAGGCGGCAGAAAGCATATATATAATTATAATAAAGTTACAATAAATTAAGTTAATATATAATTATATATACAGTACCTAATTTATATATAATTAATATATAATTATATGTACAGTACCTAATTTATATATAATACTGTACAGACGATAGCAAACTCAATTTAGCTGCTCCGTAGCGTGGCGCAGGGCGGAGGAAAGTAGTTCGGCTGCTCATCCACTATTGGTCCAGATTCTATCAATCTTGTCGCGAAACGAGTCGGCGACGACGTTTTAGGAGCTCCTTTATACGAATGTTGCTACAATTTTTTCGCTACATTATAGGAACGCACGTTATAGGGGGGTCGACTGTACCTTGAATATATATAGTTATTCTCTGACTAAAGTTGCCAGTTTCTAATGAGTTGATTCCAGGATTTTTCCATTCCAGAAGTAAAAAATTCTGGAAGATTTGACATTTTTTACTCTAAAGAAAAAGTACCATTTTGATACTACAATATCAAAATAGAATAGGTGATAACAAATAACAATATCAAAATGGTATTAGAATAGGTATTAGAAATGGTATTACTTGGTACTTTTTCTAAAGAAAAAGTACCAAGTAATACCATTTTGATATTGCTATCACCTATTCTTTAGTCTGCTTTAATGTATACTCAAAAGTTGATTGTCTTGTTGAGTAAATACAGAAGGAAGGCCTCAATTTGGAAGTTAGAAAATTTTAAAATTTTTTCCAAATTCTGCAAGTCTCCTAACAAATTTGGAAGAGTTGGCAACTACTGACTTATGACTACACAACTTGCAACCATCTGTACATAAAACAACTGAAACCAGTGTAATAAAAAGTTGTTTGGAATCTAAAATAATTATTTGCACTTACTAGCCTGACATGATATAATGATTAAATTGTAAATATAATACTGTAATGGAATAAACACACACTACATAATAATATCTCTTTAAGTTCATGTCAAACTAATTACAATGCAAGTTTGAGCCATTAGTGTCTTAAATATGAAAACAAAACTAGTTTTCTGCAGAGCTGTTCTGTTCAGATTATTCCTTTCTTTCTAATTTTATTTTAAGGTTAAAGTGAATTAAAAATAAATATGTGATTTTTGATTCTTCTGAATGTGGTTGACTACCTATGTCAGCATTTCTCAACCTATGGTCCACAATGATGGGACAGGTGGTTCATGGCAAATTTAAATTAATAGAGATTAAAAGTTTGTTCAATGATGATTCACTTTTAATAGTTTACTTCCAATTTAATTAATTATGTTTCTATATGTATTGAAAACATGCTTTCAGATTTATTATGTTATGAATGGCACAATATGTCCTAAATGTTGGTAATACCCACATAGGTTTAAAAATAGTAATGGTATTAATGAAATATTATATGCTGACCTGATGAATGTAGAAATACAACAATAGTAAAATTAATATATATGCATTAATCTTATGGCCAAGGTTCAGCTAGTATAACTGATAACATGTATACACACAAAATACAAGTTAGTGTTTAAATCTTTCTCCTGATTAACTTTTTCAAACTTCTAAATTATTAATTAATTTCATAATTTAGAAGTTTGAAGTAGAAGTAAATTACAAAACTTTTCTGATAGAAAAAGTAAAGAATTTAGTTTAGGTAATAAAATCATATTTATCTTATTTTTAAATTACCATTTCTTAGCTATCATCATTATGAGAAATGGAACTTGATCAGTTTTCACACCTAATGAACCAGTAAAATTCACTAAAAAAAGTGGAAGTTTTTTTATTGGATTTTACTGGTTCATGTTAGTATTTTTGTGTGTTAATTTTTCTATTTGTCAGTTTTTAGCAAGTTTTAACTTTTATGTTTTACAGTTTTACTCCATTTATTTTCAAAAAATTTTGGTTACTTCTAGCTGTCACTAATAAATACATTAAATACATTGTTTCAATTTCATCAGTTATATATAAGAATTGAAGAGAGACAAATAACTCAAAATGTAATTCCGTTTTATATAATAAAGTCTACATAACCAATCAACAGTGTTCCTGTATGATAAGTTCTCCATAGCAATTTTGTGCTTGCTTCCAAAGTTCTATTACTTATAACTATCTATTTATGGTTTCTCCAACATTATTTTATTTAAACATAATTTNATAATATACATTGAAAATTTTATATTAGCTTAGAAAATTGTAGTATTCAGGAAATTTATACAATACAATCTCAGTAATCTGGCTGTTTGCTAGTTTGACATGTCCAATGACATCTGACACTAGTCAACTCTTAAATATACCAGCATTGTTGCCAAGTCCATAGACAAGCTTCCCACTAGTTCATACTAGTTTACCAGTTCCTACTAAATTTGAACACCTTTCCATAAATGTGGCATTATATTGATCCTGGGTGTAATATTGAGGATTGTTAGGCTTTTCATCTTAGGCTGCACAATAAAGGGTCAGTCAGTACCTTATAACCCAGTACTGTATAAAAATCAGTCCTGTGAGATTTCAGTTACAATATTTTTGGAGGATTTCTCCCCTAAAAATACTGTACCTTCCACTAATTTTTTCATGATTGCTTCAGTTTCCACTAAATTTAGTAAGAATCCACCAACTTGACAACATGATTACTGGCAGTACAGTTGGATGATTGGATGACAAAATGGCAGAAGATAATTGAAACTTATTTTAAAACAATCGGTGACTAATTTGGGAACTCTAAAATATGGTAACATATGATTGCTCTTTTTTGATATTTTCTGCTATTATATTCAATAATTGTTTTTCATTAATACAATGTTATTACATTGTATATATCATGGATATATAATATCACAGAAATAAATGAATGTTTTTCTTTCTGAATGCAATTAAATGATCAAATTCATCTTATGAGTTAGTTCCAATAATTTGGCGCTCCTTAATATGACACTGTTCTAGTTGTTTATGTCAGATTACCAAGATTATACTGTATTTATGTCAAATTATTATATATTGGAAAAATTTTTATAAAGTCTATTTTATAGGAATTTTTTATGAAACTTTATGGTAAAATGTTCTATAGATGCTTCTTACTAAATTATTTTATTTCTATTTATTGAAAATATAATTTCAACTTATATTCAAAGCCAACCAATGCCATATGTCAGCAGGCTATAATACTAATAAATTATGCATACTGAAAGAAAAGAATTGGTCCAGAGTGGGACTCGAAGCTGCCACTCTTGCTTACAGTGCAAATGCATTGCCAATTACGCTACTTGGACTTCCATTCCTGCTCCAGGCCAATTTTTTTTAGTAGATCTCAATAAATTATTTAATTAAAAATTATAATTATTAAATTTATTAAGAGATGGTGCCTAATGCCTCCCTCTATTACCAAATTGTTTTATAATTTATTAGTATTATAACCATTATCTAGCTCGATGACATACAGCAATGGTTGGCTTGTAGTTTTATAATGCATCGGATTTTAGTGGTGTTGTTTGTTCAACTTATACTTACTAAAGCAAGAAAAATTATATAATTTTTCATTGTTAATTCTCAAGAATTTTTATTTTAATTACTGTAATGGTCAATAAATCAGTACATTTTGACAAAATTAACTTTTGTCAAAATAAAAACGTGTATGATTTTGAATATTGGGCTAAATAGCAAATATTGAATAAACAGTAGAAATTTATTGCAAATCATAAATATTCTTACAATATGTATAAATACTTATGACATTTGAAGAAATTTGTTTTAATAAGACAAGATTTTCAGTTATAAAAACAGAATTAAAAAATAAGGCATTTCATATTTCTTTGTCAAAAACATTCATTCAATGAGACAATTCATCATCAAACAACTAGTTTTTTAGTATTGAATAACAAAGTAACTTATAACTGAGTTTTCAATATTTAATTTAGAGAGTCATTTGTTAATCATAGTTTATTTCTTAATCAAAGTCATCATACAGGCAAATTCCATGCAGTAGACAACTTCTATAAGATAAAAATCTTTTTTCTCTTATATAAATAATGTGAAATGTGTGGGTTGTGTGGTAGTAAACTTATAAATTTTGCACATTATTGCAAGTATTTCAAAATGCCATCTTTTATAATAGAAAGAAGATATTTTTGAATAATTCTAACATACATGTATTTTGATTTTGGGTTCTAAGAATAACATTATTCTTAGAACCCAAAACAAAGCAAAGATTATTGAAATTGTACTGTATATTTACCATTTATCCATAACTGTAGAACATAAATCTAATTTGAAATCTTTATAATAATAATATGGTTATTATTATTATTAAACTTTTTGTTTTGTAATTTTGCACAAGATTTAGATTTTAACTATAAAAATCATGATAGTTAAATCTTCAAAAAACTTATCTTAATCCAGTGGTTCTTAAAGTGTTTTGGCTTATAGCACACTGTAAAGCATGTAAAATTTCTAGTTCACTTTGTGTACAAAATTAAAAGTATATCGATATATTTTAAATTACAAATAGCTATGTATTGTACAATAATAACTGTTATTCTAGGAACCTAGCCTAAGTATTAGCTGATTATGTACAGTACAGTATATAATAAATGTTTATACAAATGAGTTCCTTCTCATTTTTAAAATATACTTTCATAATATTCATAGCATACTTAGCATCTCTTGTAGTACATTGTCTGAGAATCACTGTCTTAATCAGAACAATCAAAAAATAGAATTGTTTTTTTTTTAATAATTATAACTCACATGAACTGAATACAGTAGACCTGCAGTAATCCGACAAACATTTTGCAAGGTGGTGTTGGATGATCAAATTTGTTGGACTATAGAGTATTGCCACTGACCTCTTGTAGTCTGGAACTTTTTTGAAAAGGAGTACCTTGTAATCTGACAAATTGTATAATTATAAAAATGGTAAGATCAAATCTTTATTTACTACATAATGTACGATATGGGACTTAGTGAATTAAACAACACAATAGATAGCATAGGGTTTATTATAAAATTAATGTTATTAACGCTATAGCACTTGCAAAAAAATAATAATTAAACGTATTGATGTCAATCAATTACATACAACATATGTAAGTATTTTCAAGGTACATACCAGGTGTATAAGCTTAAATTCGCTGTTTACTAATAGATGGCGTAAGCGAGCGTATTAAGTTACCATGACGACGCCATATTGTTTTTTTGATGATTTTGACGTCTGTCAACATTAATCAGTGCACATCATCAGATATTTCGTACAACAACATATATATTTTTTTTTTGTAATCATGTCTACTTTTGTGACAGAAAAAGAGCATATGCGGCAAGCTTTGCTTTTCTGCTTTAATTTGAAGAAATCGGCTGCGAAGCACATCGAATGCTTGTGGAGGCTTATGGAGACAGAGCTTTATCAGAAACCACGTGCAGAGATTGGTTTCGTCAGTTAAAAGATGGAAATTTTTACCTGAGCGACAAGAAGCGTGAAAATCAGCCCAGGAAGGTTGAGGACCATCAACTGCAGGCTTTTTTGGATGAGGATGATACCCAATCACAAAAAATGCTTGCCGAGCAATTGGGTGTTACTCAACCAGCCATTTCCATGCGTCTACGTGCCATGGGAAAGATTCAGAAGATCCGAAAATGGGTGCTGCATGAATTGAACGATAGGCAGATGGAGCAATGCCAAAACACATGCGAAATCTTGCTCGCCAAGCAAAAAAGAAAGTCGTTTCTGCATCAGATTGTAACTGGCGATGAGAAATGGATATATTTTGAGAATCCTAAATGCAAGAAATCATGGGTTGATCCAGGCAAACCATCAACATCTTTCCCAAGACCAAATTGCTTTGGATGGAAGACAATGCTGTGCGTTTGGTAGGATCAGCAGGGTATTATCTACTATGAGCTGTTGAAACCTGGTGAAACTGTCAATGCTCACCACTACCACCAACAACTGATCAAATTGCACTGTGCTCTGCGTGAAAAAAGGCCTGATTATCAGCAAAGACACGACAATCTGATTTTCCTCTGAGACAATGCACCATCGCATGTGTCAACATTGGTCCGAAACTACTTGGAGACACTCAACTGGGAGGTGCTACCCCATCTCGCTTATTCACCAGAACCTGGCCCCTTCCGACTATCACCTCTTTTCATCGATGGACCACGCGCTTGCTGAGTGGCACTTCAATTCTTACGAAGACATCCGAAAATGGCTTGATGAGTGGTTTGCCTCGAAAGAGAAGAAATTTTTTTGTCATGGTATCCACACATTGCCCGAGAGATGGAACAAATGTGTCACTAGTGAGGGAAAGTACTTTGAATAAATTTGTTTTTGCTTTCTAAGAAAAAAACGTGTGTTTTTCTGACTAAAAAACAGCGGATTTAAGCTTATACACCTATGTACTATGTATGATCTTAATTTGAAAATGGATAAACAAATAAATTTATGGTGCATGCAAATATTCATCAATTTTCTTTTGTTTTACATTGGCTAAATGCAAGAGTAAGGCCTTGTCTCTCAGTCTCCTCAGAAGTAAAAGTTCGTTGTACGATGCACCATTCTCTTTAGCCCATTGCATATCAAGCTGCATATAGTCATGTCGGATTATAGGGAGTGCCGGATTACTGTGGGTCTACTGTATTAACATTTAGTCATTTCATGTTATATTATTTTTAATCAAAGGTTACAAAAAATTTTTTAATGACTGTGTTTTGAAAATTTTTCAATGTAAATATTGCAATAAATTCACAAAAAATTTTATTGGCAAATGGTGTAAATATAACTTAAATTTAAAGTATTTGTAATATTTATAAATATATGTATAGTTTATAAAGATTTGGAATTTAATCTTTGGTAGAATTAGTAAAAATAATTTACCATAAAGTCTCTATACAAATATCTATTACAAAAATGTTTGTTTTGTTAATGAAAAAATATTTTATGATAATTTTTTTTTGTTTTATTAAATATAATCTATATTATAAATTTTTTAATTCTATAATTTCATATACTATATGTTAATATTTTAATATAGTAAAATCTGAAGAACCATTATATGTCCTAAGTAAGACTTTCATTTAGATTTTTCATTAAGAAGTTCTTGATATTTTTGCTAAGTTCAATATGATATGAGATATGTTTTAACATCATTTGAATGTAGAAGTGAATGTGTTTATATTTGTAATAAAAAATTCATTTGAATTAATTGCTTTATTTTAAAAATAATTTATATTTACTGGTAAAAAGATATATTTAAAAAATATTGAGTTAGTGATAACATTAATTGAATTTTTATAGCAGATGAAGATAAAAGTTTGAACTCAGTTTCTGAATCTGTCATAGAAAAATCCAGAATTAATCAAGATGGAAATATTTCATCTGACAAAATAACAACTTTGGCTAAAGAATCATCAGTTAATGATAATGTAAGTTAACGTATTAAATAACCTTTTTTTTTTTAAATTAATTTTGAATTTTAATAAAATATTATTTAAAATAACTTTATAAATAATCAAAATACAAGAAAAGCCTGTTAATAAGATACAAATTACTATTACAAATATCTAATGATGACTACTAGGTGATAAATATAAATTTTTAACATTTTAAAAAACCAATCCAAACATTTTGAGTTGCCATCCAAGCCAGTTGAGTTGATCTGACCTAACGATTGTTGACAAAACTAATAATTTTAAATGATGGCAACATGAAAGCATATAGTTGTAACTCTGGTTTTTTGTTTTTTTTAGAAACCTCTAATACTATAATTCAATATCAAATTAATTTTGAAGTTTTATAAGTGCTATAAAAATTCCATTAATGTTTAAGATACAGGAAAAGATCTATTGGTTATTTTTTCCTGTATTTACTGATGCTAATTACCATTACTATATTAAAGAAAGAAAACATTTTTAAAAACAAAAGAACAACTCCACTTGCAATGAACTTCGTTCATCATCTAAACTTTTAGAAATTTACATAAACTTAAAAACCCTAGTATGCATATAAACCAAGTGCTATAAATAATTCTTTTTGTAAATAAACAAGTTTATTCCAACAGTTTACTACTTTGGATTTCATTAGTTTTGAATACATAGCTATGCAAATCTTACAACTACCTGGCAACATATTGCAATGAAGTTTGTTCAGAAAGGATTTTTGGGGAATTTTCTGGAATTTCTTGTAGTTTTTCTTGTCACACATCATGCAAATAAAAGGAAAGTTACCTTTAGTTGTTCATATTAATGTCTGTGAAAAATGGCAAGGATTTGCATTTCTGTGATAGTGCTGTGAACTCTGAAGCTTATATTCTAATCCTTCAGCAACATCTACACAAATCAAAATATAAACTTTTCCAAAGACAAGTCTTTATTTTCCAGCACAATAATGTTTGTCTGCACAATGCTAGAAAAACCGAAGCCTGGCTGCAGTCTAATTGTACATATGTACTCCCTGGCCAGCATCAACCTTGGACCCAATGGTGTAGCGTAGTGGGTGCGGCAGAGGCGGCCCGCCCCGGGCGGCACTTTTTAGGGGTGGCAAAATTACGTTTCGGGGAGGGGCAAAATTACTTTTTAGGGGGTGGCAAAATTTCACAATAAATAATAATAATATTTTGTAAAAACTTGAACCATTTCATCACATATTTTCGTTGCACCTACAATTTGGACTGATTGAAATGAGCACGAAAAGTGTCATCATCTGGACAGTCCGGGATTTCGTGCACAACCTGTTGACCTTTTTTTTTTTTTTTTTTTTTTTGCTTGTGCGAATCACTCATCTTAATATACACCTCCAATGTCCAATACAGCTAAGTCATCTAGGTTACTTATGTTACTCCTGCCCAATTCTCCCTAATCGCTAACTGAACCAGCATGCACTGCACATTATTTCTGTTTGAACACCGCACCTGCTATCCGGGTCAGCGATTTTAAAAAGGTGGCAACACTAGCACGGAATTTTTCATTACTTATTTTGTGACAAAACTGAATTTAGTTTTTTAAATTGAGATATCTAAGTAAGGGGGTGGCGAAATTTTCCTTTGCCCCGGGCAGCTGACACCCACGCTACACCACTGCTTGGATTTATCTCCAATAGAAAATATGAATATTAAAAAGAAAAAAAAATTCAACACTGTCCTCACATTGTTGAGAATTAGATATATACATGAAACATTGATAAATAAATAAAGTGCATAAATAGAAAGTTTATGAGAATGTGATATGACAGTTACCTCAATTACATGAAAAATTATTGACAAAATTCTGAACATTAACTAAGGAAGGTATTTTATGGACATCGTCTTTTTTGCGTGGAGTACAGTACAATGATGTGGCATATGTGTGTTCCATATAACAAATTCCTTTGCATATTTCCATGTATGGAGGATTATCATGAGAAGAAAAATTTTAACTTTGTTGTGTGTACAACTTTTTTATTTTTGTCTTCAGAATGTTTCTTCCTACATTGTTCTTTACGGGCAATACTTTATTACCTGTAAAAGACATTGCCTGTAATTTTTAATAAATAAATTATAACAACAAATTTTGTATTATGTACAGAATGTATTTAATTATTTTAAATTAATTAAAAATTTCAATAAAAATGTTAATCAATATCATACCTTCCTTACATCCTCCAACAATACTTTATTAGAAAAAACATTTTCAGCTTAATTTATGGACTTACTTCATGTTCTACACTACATATAATGGTTTAATGACAAGAGGGCCAAACGTCAGGTCTCCAATTTGAACAAAACTTGTGAGCATATAGCTCTAAACACAAACAAAACAGTTCAAATAATAGAACCCACTTCTCAAGCATTTCCAAAAACCAGGCCTCTGAAAATTGAGTGTTTTAGCTCTTAAGTTTTTGGAAGTTTCACTTCTTGCAACTGATATCTGAGTGGATAACAAGCTAAGTATTGGAGCTGCACTGTGTAGGCAAAAAAAAAATTGCAAAGGTTCACCTTTGCAATTTTTTTTTTTTTTTCGTGTAACAAAATTATTCTATTATTTTACTGTATCCTTAGCATTATTATTACTATTATTATTCCTCATGTTTAAAGCTTATAAAGCTTATACTCATAAAAAGATATTTTTGCTATTGTTTACATACTATAACAACACAAGCAAATAAGCTTTAGATGTTACTGCAGATAGACAAAAAAAGTCAAGTCTAATATGTAAATAGGGTAGCACAGTCACAGAATTTTTTTTAATTGTTAATTTATGAACAATTTTCTCATGCAATCATGTTGTTACACTTCAAATATAACAATACCATTGTATCTGGAAATTAATATGAAGAAATAAAAATTTTATTTAACAACATACAAGGGTTACATCTACAAAGACTTAGTTTTTGCTAAACAGGAAATGATGTCACATTTTTTTTAGTCTTTTGTTTTATAAGCTTTAAATGTGAGGAATAATAATAGTAATAATAATACTAATGATGTGGTGAAATAATAGAATAATTTTGTTACACATAAAAAGAAACTAAAATTGCAAAGGTTTGTTCTACATTGTGTAGCTCCAGTGCTTAGTGTCTTATCCATTTGGCCGGTGATTCCCAACCAGGGATATGCATATCCCAGAAGCACATGCTTGGTGGCTTAGGGGTATGCAAAAAAAATTAATAATGGCAAATAAGAACATTTAGATTCTGCATTGAGGCCTTTGGCAATGTCACATCACTTGATGCTTAGTTTTAAATAAAAATATAATTATATTTTTATTATATTTATTTGTGTCTTTCCTCCAACACTTCTCAATTTATAATAATTTTTTTATATGTAATTGTACAGCACTGTGTAACTGACCAAGGTGCCATTGTTTGACAAACATGCAAAATAAAACTTAGCAAAAATGGGAAATAAAACTTAGGTAAATGGGCTGCCAAGGTTGCCAAATCCAAAAAGATCAGGAACTACTGCACTCAGCTATTGCTGTTACAAGGAGAAGTGAAACCTCCAAAGACTTAAAAGTTAAACACACAATTTTCAAAAGCCTGTTTTTTGAAAATGCTTGAGAAGTGGTTGTATTATTTGGACAAGGAACTAACTGTCTGTGTTTAGGGCTACATGCTCACCAAGTCTCATTCAAATTAAAGACCCAAATATCTGGCGCTCTCCTTGTGAATATTCCAAAATTGGAATGTTTGAATATTTAAATTGATGATTTTTTTTTTTTTAAATTGAGTAATTTAATACATCAAATTAAATAATTAGATATACACATATATAAAGTTATATAAACAATATTTAAAATAGAAACAATGAATAAAAATAACAAACAACAACAAAAGTTATGCATTAGGTGTTATATAATGCAGTAATGGCATTTTAATTATATGCTTGTGTGCAATTGTAGATATGGCCTCATTGTCACGGCTTGGTGATGAAAGATTGCCAGGCAAATGACAAAGTATTGCTTTCTTTATTGTTTATTCAATCCCCTTTGGTTTTAGTGCAAAAGATCTCCAATGCCTCTAAAGTTCTCAACTTGTAGTTATCAAACCCTTTTTGTAAAATTTTTGCTTCATCCCAACATGGTGACACCCTGTATAATAAGGCTCATAGTCTTATTGCACTAGTGCTACAACAAATTTATTTTTAGCAATGTCATATCTAGTTGTTTGGTCAAAAATCTATTGTCCATCCAATATATGTTAGCTTTTTGTTAAATCTGTTGTCTGTAACTGGGATTGAATATCCTCTTGGGGCTCTGTATTATAAATTTTGTTTTTATTTGTTAATGACTTAAATATCAATATCGTAGGATTACTTTTATATGTGATGTGCATGTTTACATATTTAGTGTCCTTTTATACACAAAGAATAGTATGGAGTCATATTTAATTACAGTGCACTTCTGACTGTATTGGGTAGAATTTTCTTGGTCAGGTGTTGGTTTTTAAGGTTGTTTTCTACACTGAGCCATGTTGGAGGTAAGTTTTGTAATGATGCACTACCAGGGTGTTTTTTATGTTTTAGCTCCCAAAATGTCTCTGTAATATCAAAGCAATGGATGTCATGCAATCCTGTTATTTTAAATTAAATCTGTATATTCTTACTCTTGTTAATAATAAATATTTTAGAAATTTAAAGATAATTCTAAAATCTGTTTCAGTATTGCATGCAACATACAGTGAAACCTCGCTTAACAATTATAATTCATTCCAGAATCTTACTCATAATGCAAAACATTCATTAAGCAAAACAATTTTTCCCATATAAATTAATGCAAAATACAATAATGCATTCCATGCTGAAAAAAATACTCAAATATTTTATGTATAACATTTATTCAAAGAAAATTATACAACATACATTGTTAAGGAGCGTGAATCATCTTTATTTTTTTTCTAGCGTGAAATGAACCAACCTGGAATGCAAATTCGATTTGCAGAGAACAGAACTTGAAAAAATGTTTCTCATAAACAGCCAAACGATATGCCAAATTTTTGAACTATGTAAAGGCTATAATTAAATATTAAAAATTAATTAATTTAACTAGAGGTAAACAGTTATGCTTCAGTTAATAATTATAAATAATTAATTTTTAATTTAAACATTTCTAAAATTTAATGACCAATACCTCTAGTCAAATTAATCAATCTCTAATATTTAATTATAGCATTTACATAGCCCAAGAATTTGGCATATTGTTTGGCATGTTTATTATATAATGGGCTATGGTTCTTGTTGTTTATATGTAATATGTCTGAACACAAGTTTGGAAAAATGTGTGATCACAAGCGACAATAAGATGCTAGCGGAACGAGTGCTAAACACAGACTGATGTAGCATGCGCACAATCCGGGACTTCCTCTCTCCTTGTCACTCATTATGCGAGTCATTTTTTTACAATTTGTTTTGCTTGTTATGTGAATTAATCATTATGAAAGGTGCTCATTAACATTAAATTTATCATTAACACAAAATTAATCATTATTCCACTGTATATTAATTTTATGTATTTTTAGATTCTAATAAATCATTGCTTGGCTATAAATTTGTAAGAAATAAATTTATTTTTATTACTTTTTTTTATATATTTTAGACAAATGGAAATTATCCATCTTTTATTCCATTTAAAATAAATGTGGGAATAAATGAAGATGAAATACCCTACAATGAATCTTCAGAAAATTCTTCTTTAGGTAACTTCATTAAATCATGTTGCATTTTGATTATGAATTTAAATATTATAAATTTTAATTAATTTTTTTTATTTATATTTTTTTTATCATTTAATACTTACAAAATAGTAAAATTAATATATTATTTTTTGTAAATCTTATTGTATTGTACTTCTAATGAAATTTTAACACACTTAAATATAAATTTAAAATTTTAAGAAATATTTAACTCTTAACAGTTAGAGGTCTGTTAATATAAAATATAAAATTAGATTAGACNTTTTTTTTTTTTTTTTTTTTAATCCAACCATACACATTAAAAATTTATGAAATATGAAAGAATAGGAAGTTATTGATAATGTTTTGAGAAACCACAAATAATTTTTTCATACCAATATTTATTTCTAAAATAAATAAATAATAATCCAAGGATTGATAAGGAAAATGAGTGTGACAAAAGTTTTCATTTTTCCAAAATTATATTTTCCTCTACTTAATATGGTAGGATATTATCAGTACTTGAATTTATATTTCTCCTTGTGACTTTCTGCAATCAAAAAGTTGTTTAGCCTTTTTGTTATTTTTAACAAAATCTGCAAAGCTTGTACATGACATTGAGAGATTAAAATAAATTAAAAGTTTAGCTTTAATCATTGCTGTTTGTAACCAATTTTTTTTATCACACTATATGAATTTCAAACCACTGGAACACTAGCAGTTGGTCACAAATATGCTCCTGACCAATAGGCTGGCTGCATGGAGTTTTCCATGTTTTCTTCATGTATCTGTGAGAATCAGAAATTTATAGTTAATTTAATGTAAGAAAATATATTATTTCTTACATATTGTTCACAAAAAGGGAAGTTACATTCATTGTGTTTTTTGAGAAAAGGGAAATCAACTTCCTTTTCCACAGGACTTTATTGGTAATTCTGATCACCGTCTGTATTTTTACCCCCTCTACATTTCATTGTGCATTCTGTTGTAACTGCAGATCATTTTATGCTATTGGTCAGAGAACCCAATAAAAGGGTAGTTTTCCTGCCATTTGAGGTAGCCCTCCATAATACGAGGTGCCACAGAAGGCAGTCCTCGAAAACATGAAGCTGCCATAGGAGGCAATCAGCTACCATAAGATTTCTTCAACATATTTTAACTTGTGTGCATACATAAAAAAGATTGTCCTGACGAATTTATCCTCCATCTACCGTACTCCTCCAAAGACTACTGACTGACTTACATTGTAAGGTAGTACGATTTATATCATACTTGTAAACTCTCTCTCTCGCAAGGATAGGATAGAAATTGTTACTTTCTCATTTAAGATTAGCAGTATACACTTGGCATAATAATATATCTAAGAATAGAGACATATTTAGAGTTAAGTTTGATTATGCTAACTTGTATTTGATGTGGAACAATATATATAGTATATTTCTTTTATCTATTAAACATTAATTGTTATGTTTACTTATTGATTCCATTTATTTGCTAAGCTCAGACCATTCACCTGCTACGAGTCGGACTTACCCATGACTCCTCCTGCTCGACAGAAATAGCCCTCCATGATATATTTAGATTGTAACATTTCACGTGTTAGGGCGCAATATCCTTCCCTAACTGGTGTCAGTCCTGACAGTTGAACGTATCAAAAGATTCAGGTAACATTCTTATTTTAAGCCATCCTTAGACGAGAGTGAGCATACCTTAACGTCCCGACGACAAGAGGGTTTAGCCCTCAGCGTGATCTCACATATCTAATGCCTAAATAGAGGTCAGTTCCCATAAAAAGTCCTCCTGGAAGGCATACTCCCTTGGTAGATCACCTGTTTATTGAATTGCTTTATCCATAAAACCATGAACCATGTGTGTTTCTTCCAACTGAATATTCTCTCTATATAGGCATTGCTTGAGGGAAGGGCAAAAATATATTTTTTTCCTTCCCTCAAGCAATGCCAAGGCACACACAGTCACAGTTGAAAAATCTCCATTTTTCACAAACATTAATTATTGATTAAGCAATATTTGAACATGAACCCTAGTCACTTGTTAAATTTTGTTTTACTGAATTCAATCTACATCAGGGATGGCAAACCTTTTTGAGTTATATAGTAAGCATACTTAGCTTTAAAAGATGTTTACATGTGCCAAAGTTGACTTCAAATCAATGTTTAAAGAAATTAAACAAATATGCTTTAATTAGAATAAATATAAAAAAGCCAATTGAAAAAAGGACAGGTAATAAACCAAATGGATGATTGAAAATGACAGATGATAAATCAAAATCATACGATACGTTATGTGCCAGATGATTTCTTCTTACATGCCACTTTGAGCATGTGTGCCATAGGTTTGCCACTCCTAGTCTATACAATTCAGAGAACATCTCACTTCCATCATGAGTGTGATGGAAATGAGTTCCCAATTATTAGCTATATTCATGACATTCTTCAAGTCATTATAATTTTGTAGATTAAATGATTGGTACTAGATTGAGCAAAGGTTAAGGCATTGATCATTTTGGCTAAATATTGCAGAATTCAGCCATAGGATGCTAAGGCTTCTCTTTTAAATATTGCCTGATTCCACACAAGTAGATTATTTATTAATTTATTTATTCTGAACCCAATTTCTTCTATTTATCAATTCAACTTTATGATTTTGAAAAACAGTGTCAGTGGCCTGAATAAATTCAATTTTTATACATTTTGAAGTTGTTCATAATTTAATGTCAACCAAGTACAGATAAAATAAGTAATGAAAAAAAATATGCAATACAATTGAAAACTTTAATAATGTTTTATTTTTCCAATTTAAAATTATATTATTTATATACTTTGGGTATTTCTTCTTTTCAAGTTATTTAAACAACTTTTTCTGATGTTGATGGCATCATTAGTCATTCACTACTTTCCTGACATTTAAATTTAGCTTTAGTAATGATAATATAAGAGAAAATGCTTTCATTTGCAATTACATGATGCAATATATTGTCAAAAACCAGACTAAGTGAGTTTAGCCTGCTGTCATATCTCTACCTTGTTGTGGTCAGGCCTTTCTGATCTGTGCTGCAGTGTGTCTTGTCAGATTTTCTTATCTGAATGCTAAGGCCTGGTCCAACTAAGAGAAAAACTGGCGAATTGCCAAGATGGGAGGCATTGAGCCAAGGGCTGGAAGGTACCCAGGTGGTATAACAGGTTCTACAACCCTTGGGACACCAGGCAACTTTCCATTGTACTCAACTTTGTGTCTACATTGGAGAATTAGTAGCTGTTGACTGTATATTTCCTCTATATTTCAACCCATTCATAGTTTATGGTCTAAAAATGTGCATGAGGTATATGTTGGAGGTTCTCCAACAGGACAGCTGGCTGCTTCTGGGCCTAGTAATACACTCACTGCTGCTAGCTTGAGGTTGGAAGCTTCAAGGCTTAGTATTAAGTATGTGGTTGGCTCATTGTTAATGACTTTAGGAGCTAATAGCAAGTATGCTGCTGCTGACTTGGTCATAACATCATAATGTGGGTGCTCCCACTAAGAGTAAAATCACTGCATTAAGAAATGTTAAATAAAAAAACCTTGTGAAATCCAGCAAATGTTTTAATATAAGTATATCAAACATCATGAAGCCCAATATGTGTATAGAAATATAACCAAACAATCACCTTAAATAATCGTGCCATAACTCCACTAATTTAATGATTAATACTAAGTAATTTGCTACTAGTGATAGATATGTGGTCTGTTCAAAAAGTATAGGAATTTTTTTTTTTCGCGTAAACCGATGATGTGCAAGAGGCCTCTTTCGGTGGAGTTGTGGAGGGGACAGTCATGCACAACCCTGAATTTTTTCCCGCCTGCAGGAAGCGTCAGTCATTGGCAATCGGCCTATGAGTGAGGTCATGTAGTGCGCTCTCGTCGGATTCCACTAAGCTGGAAAATGACTGAACAACGTGAGCAGCGATATTACATCAAATTTTGCCAAAAACCTTGGCGATACCCGAGCGTAAACCATTCACAAGATTCAGCAGGCTTTCGGGGACGATCCTCGAGGCCAAAAAAAGCGCAGCAGGTGCGCAGCAATATCAAAGGTCATGTTGACAGTTTTTTCGACTCTCATGAAGTGGTGTGTCGTGAGTACGCACCACAAGGCCAAACCATCGCAAAGGAGTACTACCAGGAGGTCCTTTGTCGTCTTTCCGATACAGTGCAACACAAACGACTGGATCTGTGGTCGATCAAAACTTGGCAGCTCCATCGTAATAACGCATCCGCCCATTCTGCGCATCTGATTCGGGCTTTCATCACCAAACACAATACTCCTGTGGTTGGTCATGCTCCATACTCTCCCCACATGTCTCTGTGTGACCTTTGGCTATTTCCCAAGCTGAAAATGCCGCTAAAAGGAACCCAAATTTAGTCGAGAGAAGACATCGTGTGGAATCCGACGGACCGGCTGATGGCCATTCCAAAAGATGCATTCCAGCAGTGTTTCCAGCAATGGCAGGAATGCTGGGAGAAGTGTATACATTACCAAGGAGACTACTTTGAAGGGAATTAGGGTTTTGTACCTCAAAGTCAATAAATTTATTTTTGCCGACCAAAGGTCCAATACTTTTTGAACACACCACGTATTAGACACCATCTCTTAAGTAAATTAATAATTAGAATTTTAATACAATAGAGCATCGGTTATCCAAATATTGATCAACCGAAACGTCTGTTAACCGAAAGCTTACCAGTCAGCAAATTTAAATTTCCACTAGTGCAATCTTTGGCTATGTCTTGGGCTACTCCAATATTATTTTTGTTGGTGTGCATGTTTTAGCTGGCGGCACTGGCATGACCATGAGAGGGTACTTGAGTGACAATACTGATTTCTTTGGTATCATGAGATGTGCCTCAGCATCATAAGCACACCACTTGAATACCCTCCTGTTATGCACATAATTAAAATGAAAAATGTTTAAGTTTAATTTATAAATGTTAGTAATATTAATAGAGCTGATGTATACAGATTAAAACCAATGAATAACATTAAATAAAAATCCTGAAAATCTATAGAAATTTATGTAGGCTGATTCACAAAGTAGTTCAGGAGAAAATTCTTGATGACATTTTTAACAAAAAATGTCATGTGAAAATGGGTCTGAATCTTAAGATGAAAGTAGTAGTTTTAAAGAGAATAAAAGGAAATCAATGAAAAATATAAAATAAAATGCTTGAAAGTTATTTACTGATGAAATCACAATTATTGCACAATATTTATAAGCTATTTTCAGATTTTCTTCTGATTTAATACACTGAACCATATATATTGTATTTCTGATTTCAGTGTGGTTGTTTCTAATGAATGCAACAGTGTTCATATCATGAACAAGTGTTTCATGTTATGTGTATCTGTGCATCTTATTCATGTAAACAAGATTTTTCATTTTTAAATACAAAAATCTAAGGACTGGATTAGATTAGATACAAGTCAGGTTTAGTTCACAAGGATATATAACAGTTTTTTAGGAAAAAAACATGAAATTACAGTTGAGTCCACTTAAGAGAACATTGGCTAAGGTAGCAGTTTGCTTAAGAGATTATTCTCCCACTTTCCTGATTTTCTCCCCTATATTTTACTTTAGCAGGATACCCATTAACACAGCACTGTGTGGTGTTCATTGCAACAAATACAAAGTCCCGCGAGTGGAAAAGTACAAAATAAATACTTGTTAGATAATTTTTTGACACAAAGTTATTTATTTTCACTTCGAACAGGTTCGTTTTTCCCTTTTTCTTTTGGGATCCCAATATTACAAAAAATGTTTTTCTGTGTACACACAGGCGTTACAATCTCATCAATAAAATAGCGAGCTAATTGAGCGACAATTACGCACAGTCCGAAACTTATAACTAATCCTTATACTATTTACAACTAAAGAAGAGAAAAAGGAATAGACAGATAAGAATAGTTTAAGATAAAGATGGAAATACCTGGGATTTTCTTGTGTTCGTAATCTTGGGTGGGATACTACACTGGAGCTTTACTTGGGACATTACTTCTCGTCCTTCCTGTGGACCTCTCGTATGGTTCTTTCTGTAGCTCTCTTCGACGTTTCTGTTTAGGAATTTCTTCTTGCAAGTTCTCTGGCTTCATGTAGCCTCCAATCGCTTTATACTCGATCTGGAGCGCTACCTCCTCTTTGCTCTTCTTCTTCTTCGGAATTTGAGCCCAAACTTCTTTTTATCAAAGTCTCGTAGTCCCGGTCGTCCTACACACGACACGGAGCCCTACCTTATCTCATCCGTTCTCCTCAAGCGCTTGACCCAGACTTTCCTTCTCCTTTTGTTCTCCGGCCTTAGGGTCCTACTTCACCCTTTGTTCTACTCTCATTTCTTGGAATTGGTAATCCCACCCAAGGGAAAAAGGTTGGAAGGGAAAGTTCTGGGAAAAGTAAGAAACAAAGGAACAAAGAGAAAGTTAAAACTAACTAAAATTAATACGTATTTTTATACAATTTTATGGCCGACAGCCACAACTGGATAGTATAGCAGTCTGTTTAAATGAGTCCATTCAGCTACATTTTTAGAGCAGTATTTCACATAAGGAAGTGCTATTCTAAGAAAGATTTGTTACCACCCAAGGTACAGTACATGGTGGCAGGGCTCTCTACACTATGGTACAGTACATATTGTATGGAGATTTAGTGAAACCTTCCATTGGTCAGTTTTCTAATACATAGGCAGTTAAAAGATTTACAGAATCATAATAAACAGTTTTATTACATACACATATAAGAAGCAATTACATATTAAAAAGGTATAAAATAAAAATGAACAAACTGCAGATCAAATGTATGGTACATTTTCATCTTGAAGAATTTCAGTGGTCACATAATCTTACTTTAAAAAGTGATACTATACTTATTTGTTTTTTATTGTATGACCCATTAAAGAATATTCAGAAATTTTGGAGCTAAGCTGTTCACATTTTTTCAGCTAGGTCACTTACAGTATTTCTAGAAAGAAGTGAAAGTAATGCTAAAAAAGTCTAAGAAGAACAAAAATAAACTTGAATATGTGATGTTAAGCAAAGTGATGTATATCACATCAAAGTTTACCATGGGCTAATTGATATAAAAAATGATATAATTTAGTTAATATTATTCTTATTGGATTGTGTTAACAACCACCAGCATTTATTTCTCATCTCTTATAATCAATTTTACTGTTTTTTAAAGAAAATTTAACAATGATTATTGTAAATGGTTACAAATGTATGTGTATCTTTTCTCGATGACGATATAATGAAACAATGTTAAATGAAAGGACATTAAGTAAGGATTTGCCATACTGTTTGTTAATTATTTAATATAACAATAAAATTTGTGATATTAGAGTGGAAACCAATATGTAATTATAGTAAACTTATGTGGTGATGAATTTTAATGTTTTCAAGTATATTAAAAGTTACATAGACCTTCTAAGACATGAAAAAGTGAAGAAAATTGAATACCATTAACAGGCCTCTCAATGATCCTGTTTCTTCAAATAAGAGACGATTGTGCAGCAATCCTGAGGGTGCTCTCTTAAGTGGATTCTACTGTATTAATAATCTGAAATGTTGATATAATATTTTCACTTCATAACTATGGATAAAACTTTATGAATAACTGTCTAGTTGTGAATTTGTAAGATATGTAATAGTATCTCTCTAAACAAACTTCTGACAAATTTTATTTTCTAGTTCTGTTTAGAGAACTGTAATATTTATTTTATGAAATATGTATATACAGTATAAATAATTAAAAAATAATTATAAATAGCTTTTTAAAATAGTATATTAATTCATTAAAGTATCATACAGGATTTTTTTTTATATTGTATTTGAATTTTAATCATAATACAAGACTTAAATAAATAAATAATTTTAATTTAAATAATAAATANAAGTATGAAATGGGAATTGTTAAACATTTTAATTTTTGAACTTGAAAAAAGTTCATTAAAATCACAATTTAAAACAAATTGGAATTTATAATGAAGTTTTTCAAGTTCAAAAATTTGAAGTGTCTCCATCGTTGTCTTAAATTTATATATTGTAAAAAATTAATTTTTAAAGTAGTGTATTTTTATAGAAATAAGTAGTGATAGTGGGTGTAATATTCTATTTCTGAAACAGCGTACAATAGAAGGTGTATGGAATTTAAAGTCTATTAATGTCAAGTGGTTGTCAAAAGCCCAATTTCTTTTAGGACAATTTTTAACAAACTTTTTCAAGTTTAAACATTTTAAATGAATTATTATTTTAAAATTATGCAATTTGAAGATATACGTGGTACGATCCAAAAGTTCGGGGACTACAGTAATGTATGACAACAAAAGCATGTATTCGAAGTTACAGCATATGAAATTGATTCTGTCAAACATTTCCTACGTGTTCAGGTTGATTTCGCCCATGTCACGTGATTAAACCACGAGCGCTGTTGTTTTCTTTTGGAGATAGTTACCTTTGTTTTGTGACATAATAAAAATGGAGTTTCAAGAACAGCGCTGCAACGTTAAATTTTGTCAGCGTTTAGGTAAAACACCTACGGAGACTTTAAAATTGCTATGAAATGTGTACGGTGCCTCTTTAAAACACCGATGCCATTTGTACACCTTTGATTTCACCATGGTAAAATCAAAGGTGTACAAATGGCATTGATGTTTTAAAGAGGGCCAAGAATCCATCGCACACGATCTGGCCGACCTTTGACTTCATGGAACGAAGAAATGTTGAGTTGGTCTCTCAATATGTATGCAAAGATCGTTGCTAAACCCTTGAAAAAATCTCTGTGGCTACTCACTTATTAAAGACTAGTTGCCAGCGTATTTTAACGGAAAATCTTAACATGCACCGAGCAAAAGAAAAGTCATGATGGAGGTGTTTTATGATTCTCAAGGAATTGTTCATTCAGAATTTATTCTCGAAAGCAGAACAGTAAACAAGGAGCATTATCTAGACATTTTATGTCATTTGAGGGAATTCATTCGTCCTAAATGGCCATAGATCTGGCAAAGTGGAGACTGGTACCTTCTGCATGACAACTCAAATTAATGTGCTTCCACACCCCGCCTATTCACCGGACATAGCCCCGTGTGATTTTTATTTGTTTCCATCAATGAAAAAGCATTTGCAGGAACGCTGTTTTGTGTCATCAGATGAGGTGAGAGCAGCATCGCAGGAGGCCTTACAGGAGGTTTCAAAAAATGGCTTCCAGCCGTGCTTCCAGAAGTTATACGAGCGCTGGCAAAAGTGTATCGTTGCCCAAGGTGATTACTTAAAGGTGGTTATGCATCAGCAATATAAACTTTTTAAGGTAAGGAATTTTAAGTCAAGGCCCCGAACTTTTGGATTGTACTACATATATATATATATTTTTTTATTTCATTATTTTGGTTATTAGAGTAAAATTTCATTTAGTAAAATGTTGCTAATTAGATTTTCTTTCTTTAACAGATGTAAAGGGGGATAAATTAGATGTATGCATAAATTTTTCTGACAATAAAGAGGTTAGTGTAAAATAATAATAATAATAGTAATAATTTTGTTATTTTTTTCACATTTTTTATTATATTATTATTTATTACAATTGTATAAAATATGTGATTGTTCCATTTTACTATTTTGAAAATTCAGTAGTAGTTACAGTATAAATATAGTAACTACTTCAAAACGATATTTTCACATCTAACAAAACTATGTAAATTGTTATTTAAGAAATAAGATAAACAATATTAAATTTTAATCATTCATAATAAAATTTGGGGGTACTGTCCTAAAAAATGTTCTTACACATTTTAAAATACTTCTCGAAATTTAAACATTTAAATGTAATGAAAATATGGAGAAATGAATATAATAAAAATACTAATGTCAGTTGTAGTAACAAGAGAAAATGAAAGATTGTATTTTTTTACATGAAAAATTTTTCTAATATTAATTTATAGCAAAAGAAGTGACATTAACTTTATCATCTAATATTATTTTATAAATTTCAGTGAACTGCTGTATCTAGTAAGGCTTAGAAATATCATGACACAATAGTTTTTGTCAATGATTAGAGAAATACTATTAACAGATTAAATTTTTTCTCATTTTTGTGGGTGTTAATGAAAATAGATACACATATATTTATTTATTTATTTTTGAAAAATATATTATCTTCAAAAGCTAAATAACATAAGTACAGGTATTCCTTGCTTAACATGATATTTGAATAATGCACAAAATTAATTGCGGCAATCCCTCTATATATTCAGCAGAAGTTTTAATTTATGCAGCTTTACCAGCTGTCTTTACTTAACATAGATACCACATTTTGATTACCACGATTTTGATGTATGTGGTAGGATTGAGGGATTAATTAACTGTATTAATCAAGGGATGCCTGTATTTTACTTTATATAATTGTTATTTTTATTTCTTATATTATTTATTCATGTAATGTAACATGTTATAAATCAGTATTTTTTTTTTTTTATAAGCTATTAAATAAATAAGAATTTTATTATGTCTTTATGTCATTATTATGTTTAAGAATTAAACATAATAAGACTGAGCAAGTATTAGCATGAAATATGATATATTGAAGTAGCTATTTCTATACCATGATTTTTTAAAATACTTTTTTTTACTAATTTTGTATGTAAGTTTGTATTTAATTTATTTATGTTTCAAATAATTTATTTTTCTCTTATTTTTTCCCATTTTATTTTGTTTCAATTACTTTTAATATTAATTTTGTTTATAACTGATGATACAAAAAGTTACGTTTTGTTAAGATTTAATTTTTTTTTGTATACTTAAATATATAAATAAATATATTAATGGTGCAGTTTATTTTTTATAATTTTTTTTATATTTTTTTGTTATGATTGCAGATAACTTTTTCCCAATTAATAGTGAAAGCATTTATATTCTTCTATAATTTTGTAATCTATGATGATGTTATCGTATATACTGGTGCATAATAAGGTAGTCTCAACATTTTCAGCTAAAAATTCTGGTTTAGACCTCCAAACATATGGTAACCTACCAGTAAGATAGAACTGAAATTTGGTTATGCTAAATGGCAAGCTTATGGAAAAAGTATACAATAAAGCCACACTACTTTCTAACTATAATACCTTTTAATATATGACATATGCAGTGTTCTTTTTCTTAAAACAGTTATTGTCAGTATGCCTTTATGGTGACTGAACATATAAGGTGCTTTGTATAAGTATAAACTCATCCCTTAAATTCTCAATTTTTAAAAATTAATTTATTTTATGATAAATTTTATATATTATATGTTGACATCCACTAGTTTAACAATAATTTAAGTAGGTATTATTATTATCATAAGATAAATTTTCAAAACATTTTTCAGAATTTAGTTTTTTAGTGTTTCATAATTATAAATCCACTTACAGTTTTATGCATAATAATTAAAATTTAAAAATTTAATAACCTATACATTTACTACATTTAGAAATAACTTTAATCATTCTATTAGGTATAAAATTAATTAAATTTGTTAGTTTTTTTAAATTTATTTTCAGTGGAAAAGTATCGCTGCTTTTAAGTTATTCATTGTCTGATATTGTTTTCCATTAGCATAAACAGCTCTTGCCAGTAGTCCACATAAATTTTCTATAGGGTTGCAGGTTCTATTGTCTATAAACCATTCAAATGTGCTTCTTGCATTGTGTATAGAGGCATTGTATTGCTGGAACTTCCAAAAAACTTCACCAGTTTTTCTCCAAAGGACAACAAGTGTTCTTTAACAATGCCTGATAATTTTCAGCATTCTTATCGCCATTAACAAAGGCAATATTAAAGCAATTGGCAACTAATTGCAGTCCAAACCATAACAGAGCCACCTCCTTGTTGACGTTTTGTAAAAATTTGCTCCTCTTTTCATAGATTGTGCCAATAATATTGCCATCAGTCTGGCCCATCAAGATTAAATTTTTTTTTTCATCACTGAAGACAACTTTTTGCTTTTCTTCCAGCATACTTTTTCATGGCAAATTTCAAGTGTTGCTCCATGTGATATGGTTTTAGAGATGGGGTCATTCATCTTCCTCTTAGTATATACTAAATGTTCAAAACATTTTGCAATTCTTGATAGGGTTGATTTAGACATAGGAATATCATTTCATTTAGCAATTTGACCAAGGGACACATTTGACTTTAAAATTTTTCTTAAAACAGCCTGTTTTTTGTCACATGAAGAGTTTAGCTGACTGCCTTTTGGTTCTGTAATTTTTGTTAAATTTCAAGAAACTGTTTAGTACGCCATTACTTCTGTTTAATTAATATTGTTAATATTTTCCAGTTTGAGTATCTTTCCTTGTTTAAAATTGATATTTGGTTCTGTTCAAAGTCAGAAAGATTTAATCCACATTGCATTGCTCTATTGGTTAAATTAAAAAACAACAAGAAAAAATTTAAAAAATTATAGTTAGGTGTTATTAAATAGTTACTTGGATTTATATTTATGCAACACCTAAAAATAGTAATTTGTTTGACTATTTGTGTAATAATTTTTTATTGTTATTACTTAAATGAGTTGCTATTAATGCAAAATATAAAATAATTAACATTGAACAATCTTTTCTTAACAGTTATAGCATTTCTAAGGTGGATTTACAATTATGCAATGCACCTCAGAGTTATTTTTATTGATCAACTGCTAATATTATGTAGTGATTAGTGATACTTTTTATGCTATCTGCCAGTATGGCATACTAGTCTGTTTCAGCTAAAAAATAGACCTAGATATATGTATTATATAGTTCATGTAAAAAGAATTATGGACATCAGACTATATATAACCAGACAAACATTAAAAATTTTTAGTAGGTTACTCTGGTAAGAATGCTATTGTACAAACACTTTTTGGTAAATACATATGAGCCAAAATCAACATCTCCAAAATCAAAATAAACTATTAATAGTTTACAGAGCATGCCATGATAGTATCACTGTTAGGACTAATAAGAGGGAAGGAAAGATCGGGACCTGGTCTGGGTCTGTATAAGAGCCTGAGTCAGAATCTGAATAACATTTTAATTATGTCCAGAAAATCAATTTAAGTAATTTCAAGTTCATAAAGACAGAGAAAAAGAATTACAATAAACCTAGAGTATCACCTACTGGGACTATAGGCCTATAGCTTCACATATAGTAGTCAGGATTTATGATATTTTTCCATTGCTATGATTGCTGTATGTAGTATATGATGATAATATATTATATTATGTCTGCTTTTGCTTTGCCATTTGCATCAGTAATGTGTGGTTGTTTTATCAGCTATAAGAAATAGCATGTGGTGTATTTTTCATTTATGTTGAATTTTTATTATTATATTAATTTCTACATTAAATAAGTTAAATAATTTTGTCAATCACAAGTTTTGATTGGAAGTATTTGTGATGGCTTATTGGACTTAATGTATTATAGATGTTGCAAGTAGTTATTAGTTCTGTTACACTTGTACTTCTTAAATCTCACAACTTGACAAATGTAGGACTTATATAGGATATGCATTTAGTATAGCATGACAAAATTAGTCACTTTGAATTGTCATGTTTGTATATGTTTTGGGTCTAAACCCTCTTCAGTGTTTGAAAATTCTTTAAAAAACTGGTCCTGAGTAAAGTCACAAGGAAATTATATTTTTAGTTTAATATTAGCACATAAAAGGCATATATAATAATATATGTTGCATACTAAATATATAATATGAAATATTTTTAAAAAAAGATGAATTTACGTGGGAGAGAGTCACAGTTATAGATTTTATACATCAAAAAATATTATCTAAAAACTAAAAGTATGAATTAAAATAGAAGAATGTGATTAAAAATATAAAAATGAAATATTAAGTAACCAAAATAATTTTTTACCTATGTAAAATATTCCAGAGTTTAAAAATCTTAAAATTTGAAAAAAATTAAAACCCAGTAAATAAAATCACTTAAAATTATTGTGATCTGTAAAACAATAAACTTTAAAAAAGGGGAGTTTAAAATTAACAAATAAATGATTACCTGCACAACTTATTCAATTTAATAGATATTTATAGATAAAATTAAATACATAATAAAATAAAATAAAAAGGATAAAATATAAAAATATTCATCTTTACCACAACACCGGAGAATAGTAATATAATTACCTCTTTCTAACCTGTTACCGGTGTGTCTACTAACTCTTAACGATCCAAAACGAATCAAAACTAACGTTTTCGAACCCTTAACCGGTTCTTCTTCATATTTCGAATTTAAAGTTTTTACGAGCTGCATTTTCCATCAGAGATTCGAAAAAACCTGAAGAAGAACCGGTTAAGGGTTTGAAAACGTTAGTTTTGATTCGTTTTGGATCGTTAAGAGTTAGTAGACACACCGGTAACAGGTTAGAAAGAGGTAATTATATAAAAATATTCTCTAAAAAAATGTTAAAAACATTTTTGAATTTAAAAATAAAATTAATTACAAAGATTATAGAAATGGAGTATGAA